GCCCGGTGAGGCTCGACGGCGAAGCGAAAACGCTTTCGCGGAACGACTGGTCGGCGGGATGTCAATTGAAACGACGGGAACTCGGCAATTTACTTTCCTTCGTCCTTTTGCAACCCGGTTTCCCCCGCGCGTTCGACTCTAAGAAAGCTGGAGCTCTTTCAACATGCGCGTCATTTGCTCGTCAGATTTCTCCTCCCGACATGCTCGCGCGAAAAAACCCTCCAGTTGCAAAACGTTCGCTGGAAGAGTATGGGTCCTTAAATAAGCGAGTCACTTAAAATATCTTATTATTATTTTTGCCGCATTTTTGGATATATTTTAATGTGAGCCAAATGTCGCCAAATCTCTGAATTATTCTCGATAATTGGTAAATTTCTCAATCAAAATTTCAAACATATTTATATCTGAATTATACAAGATTTTATACGAAATTTATTCTCGCAATTAATACACTCAGATCTTTAAATATTGAATCGTTAAAACACATATTTTTATTCATCAATAATTTAATTTTTTTTCTTTTAAAACAAATAAATTGGATATTTAATAAATGATTAAACTTTAAAATAAATATATTCATATCTCTTGAAATGTAAAAGATATTTTAAATTAATCTTAATTAATTTCACTTTAACAATGTACAAGAAAATTACAATAAATAAATAATAATATACATTTCTTTTCTCTCGAAAAAAATTTATGTTGTAAAAATTATAGTCGTATAAAATTCTATACCTTTTGTGTGGACATTTATAATTCACAGAAATTTCCGTCTATTTAAAAGCCATCGTTTTATACGAGATAAGCTGATATTTCAAGCCACTTTTAATCCGGACGAGACTTTAATCTCCGAAACGATTTCATCCTCACACACACACACACACACATACATCAGAAGAACTGCAATTCATTATCTCGCGCGAATAATCCTTTTTGCGCACGGATCGAACTGCGACGTCATATCCGCCGTAATCGCAGGCAGAAAATGTAAATACGTCTTTCTTCGTCTCGTCAACTGGCAAGACGATTAAATCAAGGTAGCGATAAATTAGCAATCAACTTGGCTTTCGCGCGAGAATTTTCCTTGATTTCAAATAATTCAAGAAGATGGACGAATTAATAAGATAGCCAAGTCCATCTTGGATTATCCGTAATTGTATCAAATTAATTTCTAAACATTTCAATTCGAAAGAAGAATTAAATAAAATCGTTTACCTATCAAACAACGATTTAAATTCTTTAATTGCCTTATATTATATTTAATATTAACATTTTTTTCTTTTTTCATTCTTTATTTTATTTTAATTTCTGATTTACCTTCCATTGCAAACATGTAGAAAACAGCTCTCGGAAGGAGAATTGACTCGTTTTCGCGTTTCAAGACATACGGTTGCTTGCGTTTCGCAAACAGGCCGATGCGACTCGTTTCGGTTATTGCGTCCCGCCGAACGCACGAGGATGCAGTTTACGTCGCGTGACTGTTTAATCATGCTACATTGTCTCCATATGGCGCGGTCATGCAACATGCATGCAACACGCGCGTCGCTCCATTCGGCTGTCATAAACGTCATACTGTTGCCTTTGGCCGTTCCGCCGTGTCTCGTATGTCATATCTACCTGCGCCTACCGGTGCAGCCACGCACGTCGAATTGCAAGGGAGGCGAAGGGGGATGGTCTAGGACATCGAACGCTGGCCACTAATTGGAGGGACAGGTTTGCGGGACAATTTCGCGAAATTTCCCCGCGAGACGTATCTCCCCCCTCCTCCCCCTTATCCTTCCCCCTGCTTTCGTGAGGAACGCGATAGGAAGCGCATCTGCGACAAACGCGATTACGCAGCCGGAATTTGGAATTATTGCGCAAACCACCTTAATGACCCTTACAATAGGATACATCGATATAATGAATTATTCATTTCTATTATTATTGTTATATTAGTATTATTACACAGTAAAAAATTGTGTGTCCATATGTTAAAATTTTCTTGTGTTATCACGTTTTGATTAGTACTTTAATGTAAAATTCACATACAACCTATATGTTATTATTTTTATAATCTTTTCATATGTTACATTTATGTCAACTTCATAACTTAATTCTTTATACATGTCTCTCAGAAATGGAATATTATTTTGAGTATTTTTAATATAATCAATTACTATTATATGTTAATCAACCTTTTTTTACGAGTTATTGTAACTATTTTTTCATCTAATTTTTAATTAATTTGTAGGTTATTTTTACATTACACTTAAAGTCACGATAACAAAAATAAATGCAAAGTATTGTGTCAATTATTTAACATTTTTAGTCTGTCAATAAGTAAATAACATATGACGAGTGATTATTTTAACTTAAAATTTAGAGTGGACTTTTTGGGACATGTGAAAAATATTGTAATTAACATATTATTTTTTACTGTGTATTATTGTCAATAATATTATAATCTCCTTCTGTCAAATTGCATTCTCTTGATAGAAAAATCCTACGGCGAAAAATTCTCTTTTAAAAAAGAAAAACTAAAAGTTTCATCTTCGTTCTCGAGAGTAATAAACTTTTTCCACTCTCGCCATCGATGGTCTGTTTTTGGTATCACACAGGTACAAGTACGAGGAAGCAGTCTCCTCCTACGTCAGAAAACCACTGGGTGGAGCTAATACTCGGCCGTCATTCTTATTGCATTCCTGGGCGCAGCTTTGTTTTAATAACTGCGTCGCCGACACGACTGCCGCTTCTCGACACGCGGGTGTTAATTAAATTTAATAATCCGACCTCTTGTGCGCGCGAATCCCCGGAATTCGCGAGCTCTTGTCGTTCCTCCCCGCCAAGTCCTTTCCCGAACGCACTTCTCCCTCTCTCTCTTTCTCGTTTCCGCTTTCCGAACGTGTTCACCCTCTCTCCGCCCTTGTAAGCTAGTACTAGAATCCTTATCTCGAGACAATGGGCGTCATCAATTCTGTCAAGAACGTGGCATTTCGACTCGCTCCCAAGCGACACTAAGATTAATCCCAGAATGTGTCGCGCAATTCCATTGAATCGACATATGACGATATGATGATGACATTTTCAATTATTTCATGTAAATTATCGTGCGAAATCGAGAAATAAATAATGGACAAAAATAAGAAATGAAAAAAAAATTGCTGGAAAATTACAAAGCAATACATTTTTGATCTTTTATTTCGTTCATAATATTCCATATGCTTTAATATTTTCCTTTATTTCTTTGTGGATAAAGTTAAAAGCGTTACATTTCCTGAAAATTGTATCCCCTTTTATTCGTATCAACTATGTATTTCTCTCTGAAAAAGGAATTAAATTCGATTTTAAACGCCATACATTTTTGTTTTTGTTAGATTAAAATTCACTCGCAGAGACAATAGTATTAATATTTCATTTCATTCATCGCCATTATTATAATTATGCGACTGATTGTGAAATATCTCGCCAATTTTCAGGCGTCATTTATTATGCTTTATTCGAAATGGGGGAGAGATGGCTTCTCTTTGCATATTTCTCTTTATTCCTCTGACTTTCGGAAGATTTCTATAAACGACACTCGGCGCGCGTCCAAGACAGGGGAGTGGGTTGTTATTGTTAAAATAAATCTTACTCCGTATCTCGCCCTGTTCCGACTCTCCCCTCGGCCCTTGCGGGTTAACTCAATTTCCCCGTTGCCGGTGTAAACCACCGGCGCTCGCCGCTGATGTAAAGTCTACTTTACACGAAACAACGACGTTCGGCCCGCGCGAGCGAGATGTACAGGCGGCGAATCCCGACCACTAATTAAGAGACGCGCCGCGCGCGGCTCGTTCGCGCTCGGGGAATTCGGGGTTGGTCTCGCCCCCGCCTTGAGAGACGAATGCGCTCGTTTCGCGAACGCGTAGTCTCTTCGGGGAGTCCATTACGCCACCCGGCATACATTCCCGCTCTTAACATTAACAACGGACAGCGGATTTCCCGTTGTCTTGCGAATTACAAAAGTCGTCAGATCTGCGGGGCTCAATTATTCCTGCATTTTTCCCGAGAGACCGAATCTACTTATTCGTCTGACGCTGAATACATTTTTTAAGGCTAATTACGTTTCCTTGTTTCGAAACATTGTTCTCGACAACTTCCAATCTGTATATTCTCATCGACATTAAATTTCCCTAGTCTGTCTTTTATCTCGGCGTAATGTAAAACAAGATCGAAATTGATAAGGCGTGAGACGAAAATTGCCGGATCGATGGAAGTCTCCTCGCTCTTGGCAATCCTCGCACATGGGGTCTTCGAGGTTCAAGATACAAGGATCGAAGCAACGACAATGATGACGCCTCGAAGAATCTGTGGGCCTCCAGGATCCAATTATCCGGAGCAAAATAAAATTGCAACGGCACGAACGCCCATACGCGTTGCATGTCCCGGGCCCGGGGAGTAATTTCGCCCGTAATGCCCCGATGTATGTTGTCGAGCTCCGCCGTGTGGTTTCGCCGTGTTTACCACGGCGATGTGCCGTGACGGCGCATCGCCGGGAAAATTGAGTTACGAGAGATAAAATGAGGGAGAGAGCCGGAGAGAGTAGTTCTATGTCGCGAGCTCTGCATCGTTGCATCCGACAAGGCTGAAGAGCTCTAGAAGAACCGTGGCGTGCAAGTCGAATATTCGCGCATTGCCTTAAACAAGGTGCGCTCGACAGCCTTCGACATCGAATTCGCATATCCTGCTCAGCTGATTCGAGCGTTGACATTTCCGAGCTTCAAATCCTCGCTCTCGACTCAAAATCTCTCCAGAGTTTCGACGTTTATCTTTATCATGGTTTTTTTAAGCGGTTCTTTCTTCTTAATTCTAATTTTAAACAATTCTTCCTAATTCTAGAGCACTTTAAATCTTTCCCTTTTTTTAACTCTTATAATTATTTAATTATAATATTATAATATTTAATTATAATATTGAATAATTATTATAATTAATATTTTTAAATTGTTTCAATGCTGCGCTGTTAATTATTGTCGACTTACCGGGATACCCTGTTCTGCGCTATCCTACCGTGGCTGGGAAGCGTCATGTTGCTGTCGCTTTTCGACCAAGTGACGGAGTTCTTGGCGTCGGGTAACTCGACCTTGCCCAGATAAGCCTCGCAGAAGAGCCTCGCTGTACCTCCCAGGGGTACCAACTGTGAAGCTGGCCTGTAGGTGGGTAGAGGTTTCCCTGTATAGATTCCGGATTCTTCATCTGCAATTCAAATTGCACGTCTATGTTGAATATAAATGACGATACTTGTATAAATATGTATAATTATCACGATATATAATTAATTTATACGTGTACATTGACGCGTGCATAATTTCTCCATTCTTCTCGAAATGGACAGATAAATATTTCAGAAGACAGCCCGTCGCTTTCGGCGATATTTACTGGCGCTCGATGATTAATGCCCTTAATGTAGAGAATATAATGAATCGTACGAAAAATGTGAAAATCATTTTAATATCGCCTCGCATTACCGCAGTCTCGGCACATCGCCATGAATTACGACTGGTCCGCATTACCATGAAATACTACCTCGCCGTTTATTGTACCACGTTTCATCCCCCGTGTTCATATTTAATGCGAAAACACTTTTCGGCAGTGTTTTCCCATCTCGCTCCGAAGAGGTGATAAAAACCATCTATTTGTCACGCGAGTATTTTCAAATCCTCTCTGGAATCATCATAAAGCGATTCTTTCAAGACCTCTCTCGCGACGTTAAATCATCAATCTTCACAATTATTACATGTTAAATATTGTACGAATAATTGAGATATCGAGTACTAAAATTTCGATTGATCTTTAAGAGCTGGAGAATATAAAGTTATTATAAATTATATAAATAATATATATATAATTATATAAAATTATATAATAATAACTATTATTAAATTATGTAATAATAATCATTAAATTAAATTACATAATAATAATAATTATATATTGCACTCATATATTTTTACATGGAAAACTTTATATGTTTTCATTCAATGATATAAATGATACATTACATATTTGTGAACTTCATATTTTAATTAATTGAAAACCTCTGTAATATGCTTTGCAAACATTATTATTTTTATTATTTCTATCAAAGGATGGTATTCGTTAAATTAATTAATTAGTTAAATTTGCCGGACGGGTTTTGAAGTACGCTGTAGAGTGCGGTATCGAAGTGCACGGAAGTGTGTAGACATCGAGGGCATCGAATGAAAGAAGCCGGCGGATAGTGGATGGTGGATGGCAAAAGGTCACAGGTCGTTGGGCCGGAACGGCGAGAGAGAGGAAATGGAGACGGTGCACCGGGACAGGTAATTCAATCAGCACTGATGCGAAAAACTCAAAATCAGCCGTCCCGTTAACCGAACGTGTGTGCGTGCACGTGATAAAAGTGCGTAACCTACTTGTCATTCATCGTCGATCGACATTGACTCGAAGGATCGTCAACAGAAATCTATTTAAACTATTGGATCTCTTTTATTCAACATTATCATGAGCGAGTATCAAAATTGAAAGGCAACGAATATATCATTTAATAATAACAATATAATTTAATATTCATAAAAAGACACGTATATATATATATTTGATCAAATCTCTCGAAGCGCCGTTAAATTTAAATTTGGATGTGCGACAGACGCATGAAAATGATCTCTGTGTCTATTTTCAACGGTGGAATTGCGTCAACCAACGATCCACTTTCTGTGGCCGAAACGTCGACCGGAAATTGAACTCCGTGAAATTCGAACTCCAATTCCGAGTGCCAATTTTATCAACTCAACGTCATTTTATCTCAAGATTTTCAATATACTTTATTAATCTCTCGATTGTACCTTACTTTTCGCGCGTTACAGACCATCGAAACGCGCACGAGGAGAAGTTTCCCGTCCTCGAAACTTTGGAAAAAAAAAAAAACCGCAGCGCATCCAAACTATTCGGCGCACCGTTAGCATCCGGCGCGTTTTACCACATCCGGCAATACGGCATCCGGTAGGTCGGATATTTGGGTGCAAACAAACTGCTAACTAACCCAGGACCGTCGGAATTATGATATACATAGGTTGCGCATCTACCACCATCCACCGCCATTTAAGCCCGAGCATCAGGGGGCTTAGGATTGGATTGCTTCGGGTTGGGTTAGCTTAGGGTTGATATGATGGGACGATCCTGACGCGCGACCTGGAATGTGTCCAGTTATTTCTTCCGATTCCCCGACAGGGCGATTCACGTGAAATGTATCTTTTATCGTGAAATTAAAATGATGGAAGAAATGCAACAGAGCTAAAAACAGAATGATGACTTTTTTATTTTCGAGCTTTAGATGTAAAACTATTTTAAAAAATTATTCAAGAGAACACATCCCCCCCCCCAAATTAATTTCAAACTGATCGAACTCGTTAGATAAGATGAAGATAAGTTGGAATCGCCTCGTGTTTCGTTTAACTTCATTTAGATACGCAAAGTGAGCGAGTTAACAATTTCGTCAAAGAGCGCAAGGCGAGTCTCATTAATTGGCAAGTAAAGGATGCTCGAATATGCTCGCTTAAGGCTCGCAATTAATATTGCGTAATCGAATCACGACGATGGCTTGACTAGAACTTGAGTGCCGCTAAATTCGGGGAATTGCCATCAAAGTTCCTTCAAAGCGACCGTCATTTTAAGCATTCGAGGACAGAAAGCTCGCGGCGAGTTAGCTGCCGTAACGATTTAATTACGCCTCGCGTTAGATAGGTAGGTAGATAATTTCGCAAGAGACCAGAGTAAGATTACAGGCAGTTAGATCGCGGGACACGACATATTCCTAACGACGAAGACCGAGCAAGACGATTAATCTCGCTTAAGCTCTCGTAGCTTTACGAGCTCGCGTCGATATTTATCGGAAACCGGCCAATTTGTGCTCACCTAACAGCCTCGTCGTCATTCGCCTAAGCCTCTATGGTTCCATTTAGGTCATCCGGATAAAATATTGACGGAACTTAATCTAGAATCGATATACAATGTCTTGGGAGAACCGCGACGATAAATTGGCGATTGTTCGAACGACCAAGCATTACATAAAATTATTCGCGAATGATTAATTCAATAGTTTCAAATTATTAAATATTGATATAAATGGGTAACGAAAACTTGCTCTTCTTTTCAGATAAATCTCTGAAAGGATAATTGATTTGAGAGGATTTTAAAAAGGAGAAAGAGAGATAAAACTCTCTCTCTCTCTCGTGAGATGTCCTCTCCATCCTCTTTAAAAATTAAATAGTCGCGAGAAAAATCTCCAGAAAAGTCCGCAGACGGTGTGTTCTTCGTCGACCAATTGGGAATCGATTTTTCCCTTAACGAATATTTGATTGAAGACTAGCGTACACTGCTGATATAACATACTCTATCAAGTTTTCATACAATTTCAACGGCATTATTGCGAAAGCTGTTACGAGATATATCGGAAATTAATGTATGATTTCAGGCAAATGAAATCACGGGCACGGCCTTTGATATTCAATATAGAAACCGTGTCTTATTGCAACGTCATTTTACGCTGTAATACATTTAGCTTAATATTACAAAAATGCGCGCTGATATTTGAAGATCAAATTACATTTGCCATTTTTTTTCTCCTTCTTCGAGACCCTTAAAAGCTCCCTTTGAACGTTTTGCTCTTCGATTTATGACATTCCTGTTTCGCGAGACGTCACGATATCGTCGCCGCGTGATCTTGTTAAGATCCAGGTCCTTTAAAGTAACTTCAATCGCAGCATTCGAGAGCGAGCACGAAATTAACGCGAGACGAATCGCGTTCCACGCGACGTAACGATGCACGTAACTGGGGACCGATAATCGAATGCAGCCGGATTGATTAAGTCACTCTCCTCGCGTTCCTACACGAAGTGGAACCTTCTCTTCTCCTCCCCTCTCTTATTAGTTATTTCATGTTCCCTGTTTCTTCTCTACGCGAGCAACATGCAAGCTCCGAAGGTAGACTCCATTTCGCGCAGTATCCTTTCATCTGCGAATAGATATCGAGTAGGAAATATTGAAAAGAATGAATTAAAATTATTGAAACCGAGAAAAACTGATAACGTCATAAGAAACGAGAATTTTAATGATCGTGCTGTCGTCCTCTCTTGATGCGGAAATATCGAGAAATTAGAATCAGACCAAATGTATAAAATTAATCTTAAAAGGAAAAAAGCAATTTGAGGTGAAAACAAGAGCTCTAATTTAGCAGAGTACATTGCATTTTTCTTCAATAATACATTACATGTAGAATTCGATATGCATGCATATTTAAAATACATATCATATTTAAAAGGACAGAAGCAATTTTAAAAAACTAATGTCATGAAATTAGAGAAAAATTCATTCTCACAAAATCGCTTGCGAATTGAAGTAATTGTGAGAAATTGAAGACGATTAAAAATATTTTCCCGATATTTTATTCGAACTATAGATGTAGCAAAATAGTGTAAATTTTACTAAAGAGAAAAAAGTCGAGTAACTTTTTTTGCTACGTTAGCCAACAGATTTTCTTTTTCGCGATTCTAAACGTTTGTTCAATTTGTCAAGCGTCACAGAGACAGTTAAACGCCGTTTGAAGTGGCATGGCAGGAGTCACGTTACGGTTCTGGCCCAGTTTCGGTGCCCGAGTGCAGTTACAGATGTGGATTACGGGAAAAGTGTGAGCGCGGAAAGAGCGGCGACGAGTCAAAAAGCACTCTCTCTCCCGAGGACCCGTCCTATCTATCTCCGGATATGTCTATTGCATACAATGTCCGGCTGGGATCTCGCGGTTGGCCGGGACAGGGCTCGTAATTTAGCGTGAAATACGTTTTCCAGAGCTGCCCGCTGCACCGCGGTCGCATCATCCCGCGCGCAGCATCCCGGTCCAGAGAGTCCGGATCCGGAGATCTCTCCCTCGCCGTTCTTGAGCGTACTCTCGGCGTTATGCGTGGCACGTTCCATAATCTGCGGCGAGATAATACGGAGAGGCCGGTCATCAAAGACGGACGGCGTCTCCTCCTCTCTCTCTCTCTCTTTCTCCCTCTCTCTCCTTCTCTCTCTCTCGCCTCTGTCCGACGTCGTCGGATTATGGCATCCGGCGGATCCAAGCGGAAAATTTAGAGAGCACACCCGGGCGGAACTCAAGTAGAAGTGACCCAATTCCCCGCCTTGATTAAAATAGAACTTCACTTTGCCATGTTTAAGGCTAA